TGCCTTTAGGAATGTGAGCAATGCTCGCTGCATATCGTCGGCTAGATGTGCACCGACGCGCACCGTCTTACTTGGATCGGAATCGTCTATAGGCATCTCCAGAACCTCGTCTTTTTGAGGGAAAGTTCGAGCGATAGGATGAGAGCCAGAGTTGACTAGGGATGATGAACGTTGCAGCTTGACTGTGGCGATTAGCAGGTCTCGAGCGGCTTGCTGATCTCCGCGGACGGTCTTGATTGTGCCGTCTACCCCAGGGAACTTGATGCATTGGTGGTAGGTTGACGGAACTGCCTGCATCGAATGTATCCATGGGGTTCCGAGAATGACATGATAAGGGGCTTTAGTGTTTACCACGGCGAATTTAACCGTTCGAGTAACTCCGCATGCGCGGACTGGGAGACGGATCGTCCCTAGGATGGTTTCCGATGAGCCGTTGAAGCCGGTCANATGACATGATAAGGGGCTTTAGTGTTTACCACGGCGAATTTAACCGTTCGAGTAACTCCGCATGCGCGGACTGGGAGACGGATCGTCCCTAGGATGGTTTCCGATGAGCCGTTGAAGCCGGTCAAGGTTCGTGAGGATGATTTGACGTCGTCGAAATCTACCCCCATCTTCTCAAGCGTATCACGAAAGATGAGGTCAAATGAGCTTCCTGTGTCGACTAGTACTTTGGTTACATCGTACTTACCGATCTCAAGGACGACTAGCAGAGGATCATTATGGGGCAAGTGGACTCCGTTCAAATCTTCGGGGGAAAAGCTGATTGGCGTGTGGCTCGGTGGCTTCGTAGGCCAGCGTCTCGAAGACGCGGCTTGGCGCCGGTAGTCTTTGACGGAGCGGACAGAGTCGCCACAAGGAGGTGATCCAACCATGATGACGTTTAGCCGTGGTTTCGCGACTACTCGTTTGGTATCTAAGAATGTACGAAGATCGGCAGGGACGTTCTCGTCGCTCGGCTTTGACGAGTCCACGGTATGGGACGAAGTTGACTGCTCTAGCCGTTGATTTATTGATTTGGAACGGTTTAGTCGCGCGCGTAAATCGGTCAGGTTAGCGTTGAGTTTGTCGCGCAGATCGGTGACAGGCTTGTCGACCGACAAGGGAGGCTCCTTGGTTTCCAGGCGTCGCGACTTGTTGGCTTGGAGCATGAGGCGGAGGTCTCTGCTGTTGACGTCACTGCATGTCGTCTCCTTTCGCTTTAGGAAGCTCCGCAGGTCGCTTGATACCGCGAGTTATCGTCCTCGTCGTCAGATGACAAAGGTTGCTGAGATCGTATTACCTCGATACGTTGACGACTCGCTGGTTGCCCCTCGTCTGCTGAAGATGCTTCGTTGTCTGCGTCGACCGAAGGTTTGTCGTCCGGACGGCGTTGCTCTCCGTTTTTGCCACCGGACTTCCGCTGCGCGCGTTTGTCCTTGTTCTTAGACCAACTCTTGCCGGATTTTGGTTTTTGCTTTGGGGGCTGAATCTTGAAGTCGCCTTTTTCAACCGATGAGAGGAATCCAGTGTACATCGTTCTACACTCGGTTGTATCGTGTCCTTTGACGTCATGGTACTTACAGTGTTTGGTGAGGTCGACACCTTTAGAAGATCCGACTCCTGAGGTAGCCGGCGAAGCTGGTTGAGCCGGTCCGGCAGGACTAGCCAAACCTTTCAGAGCCGCCGTCTCTCGGTTGTACACGTTCCATGGTTCGCCGCGTACTGAGAAACTTGCGACTGGTGTGTTGTTCTCGTCGACAACAAACAGAAACCCGCTCTTTTGTTGTTTCTTGTCGCCGGAAGCGTGTTGACGCGGCTCCGGCTTCGTGTCAGAGGTCTTGGGGGTTGTCGGCTTTGCTGCGCTATGTTTGCCCATGATTGCTTTCGTGTCTTCCTCCATGCGGATGAAGTTGTGTGAACGAGCTATGGCATCCTGGAGCGTCGTGGAGGTGCTTCGGTATAGGTCCTCTCGGAATTTGGAATCGAGATGGAGGGTGTTCATAAGAGCGTCGACGGCTATGTGGTCGGGGATGTCGATCTTTGAGACGATCGACTTGAAGCGCTCCATAAAGTCTCGGAGACTTTGGTCTTTAGTCTGCTTTAGGTTCCACAAGCTGGAGGCTGTCGCTTCGCGCTTAGTGAACATGATGTAGGTTTTGAGGAAAGCCGACGAAAACTCTCTGAAGCTGCTGATGGAGTTCTCCTTGAGGCCTGAGAACCAGGTTAAGGCTTGGTCGTGGAGTGTCTCCACGAACAGCTGACAGTATGCGGCGTCCTTTTCGTCGTCGGGTAGCCGCGCTCGGGCCATCGCGATGTTGAAAGCAGTCATATGTTCTACAGGGTCACCGCCGGGTTTGTATTGCGGAACGCGCAGCTTCTCGATCTTGCGGAAGTTTACGCTAGTCAACGTACTGGTGAATGGGGTACGCTCGGTTGAAGTGAGAACACTCTCGATCTGTGGAGCGGCGCTAGTAACCTTGTGAATCGTGGAGCTCATCTGTTGGAGGTTTAGTTTGAGCTCGGCGATTTCACGGACGGTCGTGAGATCTGGGCCGACTTGAGCTGTTTCTGCAGCGTGCGGCTCGGTGGGTTCCGACTCTTCGGAGGTATGGTCGGCTACCGGCGCTGTCGGGTTAGTGTTGAAGAGATGACGTCGGAACGGTTGAGAGTTACTCGTCTGCCCGGCGGGAGCTGCTGTTAACGCTGCTACTAGTGCGGCGAGTTGAGCTTGAGTCTCCTTTTGGATTTCGTCTTGTCTGGCGAAACGCGCCATGATGGAGCTCGTGAAGTCGGGCGGAAGGGGTGTTTCGGGTACGGGAGTCTGAGTCGGCTCCTCCCCGGCGGTTCCGGAGACGGTTCCGTCGTCTGGCATGTCTAGATCTGATAATGTTGCTTTGTTCAGAGCCCCACGGTGGGCGCCAAATTGTTTGAGGTGAAAATGGTTTAGAACCATATAAAGAGAGAGAGATGGGGCGAACAAAGACGTTCTTTATTAGATCTGAACAAGGAGTTACAAGGAGATGAGTAAAGAGGCGGACTAGCCGGAAATACAAGATGGTGAGTAACGGTGAAGGTGAGTAAACCCTAGATCTAACCACCTAGTCGCTAAGAAGCCCTAGATCTAGCCGCCAAGTGAGTATGTCGAATTCCCCCTCCCTTTTCCCTTTGCTGCCTCTCTCCTTTTATAGACCCTATCTTCGTGTTCGCCCTAGTTTACCTGAGCCTTGTTGGGCTTTATTCTTGTTAGGCCCGTTTAGTAGTCCGGGTAAGTCGTATTTCCGCCGACTCTTCTAGAACACTCTTAGTCGCGCTACTAAACGCGTCTCATGCTGAGTCGTTTTGATGTTACCTGGTTGGCCGAGTATATTGTCGTGTTGGCTAAGTTTCTCCATTTGATGGGCCTTGTGGAGGGGTATAACCCATCTCCTACAATATGCAGAATCGAAGTCCTAAAACATAAGAAAGATGGGAAATTGTTTCATGAGTAGAGCAAAAGTAAAGTTTATGTAAATTTGCTTTGCTGCAACAAGTGGTTTGACTAAGGAACAAAAGCTCAAGTTGGAAGAATACAGAGAGATATGAGAACCACCAAGAAAGGTAAAACAAGTCAAAACAGTAGAAACTGACTCAGACGCCAATCACAAAAGTTAAGAATGGTAGCCAAAGTAAAACTTTAGAGATTACTGAACACTGAGACAAACAGAATGGTGACTCTGCTAACAGATAACTGAACAATAGATTTTTCTTTTTAAAACTCAGCCACTTTCTGAAACCAATGTAAACCCTCTCTTCTTCCACTTGGATGATTAAGATAGAGACCAGAGCATAAACAAAACATGGTTATACATTTGGATGTGTAATAGTATACCTCATCGCCTATATCATTCATGTAAAGGTTCAACCAAACCAATCTCTTGCTTCTTTTGATGTATTCCGCTACGTAGAAGGCACCCTTTGCGGTGATGGAGCAACTCTGCAATTTCTTTCGCACCCTGCACAGGAACATTGGAAGTCCTTCGGTTAAGAACATGAAATATAATTAGGGAAAATTGTCATTTAACATTTACAAAAAAAAAAAAAAGAAAAAAAAGAAAATTGTCATTTAAATCACCAACTTTCAAATTTGGTTGAAATAAAACATCAACTTTCTCATAAGCCAAAAAAACACTCAACTTTTATTGACAAGCCATTTTAATCACAAACTTTCGTCGATCATACCAATTTAGGCATATTGTTAGTCAACAGTTATAGTTGACTAACGGTAGGCCTAAAATGGCTTTTAAAGTTGGTGTTTTTTTTGACACAAATATAAATCAACAATTTTTCAATATTTTAGCTTTTAAATATTGAAACTTTTAATAACTATAACACTAATAAAGAAAATTGTAAATAAAAAAGAAATTCCATTCAAAAATATATAAATAACTCAATGTAAAATTATTAATTAACATATCCTTAATTGGGTATTTTAGTTAAAAAATGATTATGATTTTTAAATTATTTACGATTAATTTTTAAAAAATATTTGTATCATCCTACACGGATTATGTTTTATAATTTTACTGTCAAAAATTTGTTAGTAAAATATTATTTCAATTCTTGATTTTTTTAAACAAAATGAGTTAACGGATAACAAAAAAAGTTATCTATTTTGGTGAAACTTATTTTTTTTTTTTAGATGCAGAAAACCTTTTGTAAAAATTTTATAGATAATATATAGATTTGTTTGAAGATCTTTATTATAAACTTAAAGAATCATGAATAATTCGTTACTCGTCAATTTTTTTCATTTAAGAAACACGAGTTGAATTAATATTTTATCAGCAAACTTTTGAAAAAAAAATTATAAAACATAATTCAAATAGGATTATATAAATATTTACAAAAATTAATCGTAAATAATTAAAATATTCTTATCATTTTATAACTAAGATACTCAATTAATGTATGTTAACTAATTATTTTACATTGAGTTTTATTTATATTTTTTCTAGAATTTTTATTTATAGTTTTATTTATTAGTGCTTCTGTTATAAAAATATTTTCAATATTAAAAATATATCCAATATTGTAAAAAAAATATTGATTTATATTTGTGCCAAAAAAAACATCAACTTTGAAAGCCATTTTAGGCCTACCGTTAGTCAACTATAACTGTTGACTAACGATATGCCTAAATTGGTATGGTCGACGAAAGTTTGTGATTAAAATGGCTTGTTAATAAAAGTTGAGTATTTTTTTGGCTTATAAGAAAGTTGGTGCTTTATTTCAACCAAATTTGAAAGTTTGTGATTTAAATGACAATTTTCCCAATATAATTACAAGTAGTGCAGCTAATTAAAGAGATCGAATATAATGTAAAATAGAGAAATAGAAATTCAAGAGTAAAAAAATAAAAGAAGAAGACTTTAGTACCTATGATCTCGTCATCATGACAAAGCTGAGTAACCAATGTGGTTTTCCCGCACCCCGGTGGAGCAGAGATCACGAGACTAACCACTGAATCATCATCAAAGAGCTTCTTCTTTACCTCAATTAATGGCAAATCCAAACCAAAGAGAACCTTATGAAGCTTTGGGACTGAACAAAGATCCATATAAACAGGAGGAGAAACATTCAAAACGTGGAGTTTCTTATTGATCTTTTGAAGATGACTCTGTAGGAATTTCATCTTATCCACGGGCAGACGGCCTGGGTTATCTACAAAGCACAAACACCAACACTTTCAAACTCCAACATAGTTCCCATAAATTTCTAAACTTTACAAAGCTTTGAACCTAAACAAAGAAACACAAACACCAACACCTTCAAACTCAAACATAGTTCCCATAAAGTTTTAAACTTTACAAAGATTTAAACCTAAGCAAAGAAGATAAAATAATCCATACAATGCACAAGCGAAGAAGACGATGAACAAAGTACCGGGAACAAGTAAGAGTCACACGCCCCGAAGAACCCCGTGGTCCACGGAGGCATATCGCCTGAGAAGTCATCGGCGGAGAGCTTTGAGAAATGGTAGATTGTCAGAGGAGATGAGATGGTGACGAGACGAGTCAATAAAGAGGCGAAGAAGCCGTTGGTTACACTACAAACGTTTGGTCTCGTCGGATTTGATAACCGATTTCGCCGGAGATGGCCTCGTCGGAGTTGCGGGAGATGGCCTTCGCCGGTAATATCATCGATTTGGAAAAAAATATCAAGACAAATGAATCGAGGGGTAAAATAGTATTTTGCATCTTAAAATTCTGTGGGTAAAGATGATTAATGTCAAAGTGAAATAGTATATTATGAATGTGCTAGTTTTAGTAATTTTTCTTAAAATATATACTATTCGTATAAGCAAAGCCGAGTACTAATTATACCAAAAATACTGAGTGCCACCCCTACTGTCAAATGTTCCAGAATGATAACAGAAACTGTTCTTTCATGCATGCAATATTACGTAACGATTCAAACATAAGATTAATTATGAATCTACTCGTATTCACGAATGACTTAATTAATAATCCAGATATTTCTTATCGCATGATGCCAAACGTTAATATTATGAGTGTAATTCTTTTTACGGTTATCACCAAAAATGTAAGCCTCATGAATTAACAATATTTTTAGAAAATTCACTACTTTACTTTACGGTAACAACAATAAAACCCAGATTTCAATTCAACAGTTTTATTCAAACAAGCATACTAACCCACACATGAACCGTCGTGGCTTTAAAAAATCAATCAATATTTACCCTGCAAAACACCTTTTACGGCAACTATAGTTAACCGTATTACATCATTAGACACTACCCAGTTTTTTTTTTTGTCGTAACTTTGATTGTTTAAGTTCAAAAATTGAATGCGAACGTTTCACAAGCATCACGTAACAAACAGATTCACTCAAGGATGAACTAATCAAAACTAAGATGACTCTGATATGTTAATTTAATTTTATGATTTCAATTATGAAATCAACACAAAGACCTAATTTAGTTTGACTTAATTCAATCCTAACACATTTTTAAGGGAGGTAGACGGACTAACCTTGATCTATGTTTGGATGCAATTCCACCAATTAATCTTCTCATTTTTAATCTTCTCTTTGGTGATTTCCTTGATGGACAAGAAATCTCATGTCTTCCTTAATCTCTTTTTATTGTAACTATGATTGTGTGTGTTTTTTAAAGAGACCTTTTTATGTACATGTGATAAGAAGAGTACGAGTCTTTTAAATAATAATCAAAGCTTGTGTGAATACAACTCTCCAACACATCTCTTCGATCCTTTAACATTATTAATACATTGTGGTGTTATAAACATATGTATTAAATATTATGGTAATGCATTCCTTTATTATTATCGTTGACATATATGTATATAATAAATAGATTAAAGACATCTCTTACTCCCTCCGTTTCGAATTAGATGTCATTCTAGAGGAAAATTATCGTTTCAAAATAAGTGTCGTTTTAGCGTTTTGAGACAAAATTTATTATGTTTATATTATATTCTATTTTTCTATTGGTTGAAAAGTGGTTAGGTGTATTGGTAATTGTGTTTTTATATTGAAAATATGTAAAATTAAATGTTTCATTAATCTGTGTGTAAAAACCTAGAATGACAAATAATCTGAAACGGAGGGAGTATATATTAAAAGAGAAGCGTGTAATAAATGCATTCATATCATAATTGACACATGTCGGCTTCAAAATCATTTGACAATAAATGTATTCACACACTAATTTTTTAATTCATTATTTAGTGTGTTTATACACTATTTTTAATTAATTCATTTTCCTACATTTTTAGCTTTTGTATTAATAAATTAAAACTTTTTACGTGAAACTAATGAATATTATCTTTATTGTAAAAAAATACAAAATCATTAAGATTCGCATCAACTAAAATGTTGCGTTGAAAATGTTTGTAGAAATTGAAAGTTTTATACCTTGCCGAAGTTGGTCATGGTTGAGGCTTCGGTACACAATAACAACAAATAAGGTGATTGATTATAAATTAAAGAAGCTGAAATGAAAAACACCACACGTAAAATTGGATCTTTAGTTTAGTCAAATATTAAAATTCTTATAAATTTTTCATATCAGACCAAAAATTAGAAACAAAATCAAATTGGTAGAAAAAATCAGAAATTAGAAAAGCTTTAAAAAGAAATAAAAATCAAAAAATCGATTAAAAACATAATTCATATACCAAGTGAAATGTCACTTTGTAATATATATTATTTTTATTTTTCAAGGGTAAAATTTGATTTTCTTCATATGAAAAATGTAATTAATTTCTAGGTTTGCTTTATTTTTTTTCTTAATTTTAATTAAGAATTTACTATCATGTGTTATTTTAACAAAAAAATTTTAAATCTTGATTAACGGTATATTCATATATTTATCATCACACTTATATACTTTTACATATACATACATGTACACATTGACATGAGCGACTATATAACTAAATACTCACCACAAGTGAGAATTTTAATTCTTATTGAAGTTGAGTTTTTTTTTTAATATTTTCTTTCACTATCGCTCAAATTTTAGTGAAATTTTTTATGTTAATAATTTTATTTTCTTTTTTGTTCAAATATTATTTTTGTTTTATTTGATTTTACATGTCTTTAGAAATTATAATAGGAAACTATTAGTTCGACATAAAAAATGTCAGAAAAGAAATTAAAAACATCAATCATTTAAACCAAAAAACCAAAATAAATATAGATTTAGAATGATAGTTATATTTTAGGAGACTAAAAAAAAACGTAAAACTGAACCAATATTCATGTTAAACAGACATAATATTATTTTATCTTAAAAGTAACTAAAGTAATAATCTCATTCCGCGCAAGGCGCGGATTATTACCTAGTTCATAATATAAGGTAAAGTATGAGGGTTATCAATACATCTGGATTCTAAATCATTAATCAAAACCGATCCATCACGGTATTGTCTTTTATAGTGCTTTGTCTAAATCTTTCGTTAACCTGTAGGACAACTATCAAGCTTTCAGTTTGAACCCACTCAACCTAAATTGTCGAGGCAAAGACCTTTGTCCCTTTCTAGGGCATAAGGAATAATGTCATTGGGAGACTCAAATCCTACAAGCATGATAGGATCAGTGGTTCCAGAGCTGGATTGTACGTTCATGTCTCCTCTCTTTTTCTTTTACAAAAGAAAGTGTTACTGCTTGGGAGAGATGATGCTGATCTTTATTTATGAAAAAATGTAGGATTCAGACACCAACATCATACATATTTGTTGCTTCTGCGATTCACGTGATTACTTCTGGAGAACATCTGGAGAGAAATAATGGTACATGTGATTGAACTTTTAACTCCCTTACTGACTTTCATGTTAATAAGAGTAACATAGAACTGTAAACGTCTGTGTTTGTTTCTTTTGCAACTTGTCCAGACAGGAAGATCGCAACAGTTCAAACTTTAGTGTTGACATTGTGTGGAGGCCAGTCATTATTCGTGTGTTGCAGAGCCAACATTTACAATGTACACCTTCATGTTCATTTTTGCCAAGGGCAGAATTCTATATCAAAGTTTTAGCATTATCATCACAATCTTTGCTATAAACTCACTAAAGTATGAGTTCCCAGATAAATTTAATTGACCGTGTAGCTGACCCGAAGATGTGTAATATGTTTAAAGAAGAAGGTTCACGTCTATGAAAGAAATGAAATAGTGTGTACTAATAAGGTGTTACAGACATTCCTTGACAATGATCAAGTGAGTAGTTGTTGAAACAATAGATAGAGTTGATCTACAACAGAAAAAAGAGTTGATTTACATATTTAAAGTCGTGAGTCCATACATAGTTAATACTTAATAGTTTTTGTTAAATTAAAATTAATTGCATATATACAATAAGGGTAGGTTGAAGATGAAAGATTGAGATCTAAATGCTGTTCACCAGTTATACAGAAATATTTTTCATATACCTACATGTAAATATTTAATGGAATATCAAATTAATTGATCATTATAAGGCACATTTACATAGGAGAAAATAAATTAAGCTACACTAGCAAGGGATGAATGAATAAAATGTTTCAGAATTTTAGACTTAACTAAGTTCAAACCATATTTTTAATAGTCCTTGCAGCGGATGAGGCCATGCATATCTTAAGGAGGATATGCGGTTTCGAACCAACTTTCCAATCCTTCTAGTGACTTCATCAACTGAGACCCATCTTCCTCCATGTCTTCATGAGTTCCTCTCCATCCAAATTGAGTAGATGGTACAGTGAAAGCTCAGCCTCAAAAGGATAGTATCCGTACGACATTTATTTTTCTGCATAAGAGTTGGTATGGTGGCTTCCCAATCAGGCGTGATGGTATGGCCAAGTATTTTTCCAGCAGTGTTCATCCAAATGGTAAACGAGTAGGGGCAAGTAAAATAGAGATGATATCTTGTCTCATTCTTTTCCCCACATAACATACATACTTGCTCACTCCCCCAGACCCTCATTCGATCCCCTGTAGAATCTGTTATTGAAAGCGAGCCAAACTATGAAAGAGTGCCTAGGAACCGCTTGTTAAAACCAGACAAGGTTACTCCACAGGACTTTGTTCTTACTGATACG